CATTAAAACGTTGAGGCTAAGGAAATAAGCTTCCGTTTATCGCCCTAGTCAAAGGCACTCAAGCACGTTTATGGCTAATAATAGTTAGTGTGTTTATCATCAATGAATTTGTCTGGACTTTGTAAGGTTAGGGCTACATAAGGGTCCCTGTTCTATGGTATGAAGGATTTGTTCTATGTGTGGTAAGATCCGTTGTTATTGGCCTAAGCTTTGTATCGTGCACTGCATCATTCCAGGCGCTGCATCATGCATTCAAGGTGCTGCTGCATGCATTCCACGCGAATGGGAAATGGGATACGAAGGGGCCGCGATGTTTAAGAGTATTCTCCAATCTGTAACCTGAAAATCTACCCCCTACATGACAGCAATGCACTCAAAAGCAAAAGCATTCTCGATCTTCTAGCTCTCGTCTATATGTGAAATGGTAGTTTTTGGGTCGAATACTCCCCTTTCTACGGCACCAGGTAGTGTGTTCATTAATATCAGTAACACACTCGCTGAAAGTAGTTGCAATCACCTCGAGACTCTTCTGCTTGGTCTCTCTGCGAGTAATTAGTACATGATCTGGAAATCGGCCAGGATAGGATAGCAGTAAGGTGCTTGCCGGGAACAGGAGTAAACCAAGACGGGGTAAACCGCAGAGATGACAACAGAGACGTAGTAGCAGTTCTCTCCGATATACCCAATAGCAATTGGCCCTGCCTTGGTGACGAAATAACGTCATTATTAGCGAAGAATTCGAAGAGTTCAGTCGAAAGTCATACATAATACGTTGATTTAGGGTTGAAGGGCCAAGAATCCAAGAAACCAAGGACGCAAGCGAGCCCATGGGCCCCCAGGACCAAGTCTTGCCAAGGACCCAAAGCCTAATCGCCCCTGCTTGACTATACGATTCAATGTATACTATTAATTAACTTGAAGTTCAAACTACCCAGGTAGTTATCCTAAGAACTCATATTGATTTTACAATCTTAATAATACTGCGAAGTATGCTATGGTACGTGGCCCAGTAAAATGTTGTCTTGTTACAGTATGTGTCCCTAGGACGCTAAGCTTCTGGCCGTCACGCAAAGCGTCGGGTATCGCGTCTCTAACTACCCCTGTATTGTTCCCTCCGAACGCATTCTAGCGCAGGTACTTGACGAGGTATGCCTTACAGGGAGGAGCCCCGTTAGCCTGGATTTTGGACCCATCTGGAGACCCAACCGTAAGCACATGGGTTCTTGGCGGACCCGAACTACACTACTAGCGTGTGACGCCTGTCTTGACCACCGTTTAGATAGATGATACTTTTTTACCTCGAGTACTTAGAGAGAGTGCGCATCACTTACTGATCGATTCGTCCAAATGGTGAGACTTTGAACTTAGTTCGTTCTAAGTATATGTCGTCTTAGATCTCATTAATATTTGCAGGGCGGCCTGCTTTACTATATCCGATTTACTATATTCGAAGTTCAAGATGCAGCAGGGCACGCTAAAAACTGGGGTACAATGTGACCCAATGATTCCCCTGAATTGATGCGAACATGCGAACATGCGAACACCCGAATGCTGACTCATCATCAAAAAAGTGGCAGAAATTCGAGGCCAGTTTAAGGTATAGCCCTTGGCACCTCAAGACCTTTTCGTGGGGAAAGCATCAGCTCTCATTATCTTGTGAGGAGAAGATAGAGCTGCACGTTAACCGATGTCACGCCACTTCCAAACCTGGGTTATGTTCCGGCATGTTCAAGGATGTCTATAGTAATGAGTTTTTGATGCAGGGTGGTACTAAGTGCCCATAGATACAGTATCTTCATCTTTCATTGAATGACGTGCTATGATGAAATAGGACCAGCAAAAGAGCGAGAGACCAACTTATCCGAGTGCTGAGAGCTTGGATACGCATCGAATACGGAGATATGGAAGCACGTTGCATCGAGCAACCCGTATATATGTCTTGTTTCCGACTGACTCTCTGTCACGGAACGCTACGGAATAACTACCGTAGACCGGGGGTCGTGAGCACGGGCCCTTGGCCCAGGTATATAAAGCTGGCTACTGAGACCCTGCCATGTAGAATAGGGGTTTTCCTCCTTGTGCAATAGCAATAGCTAATAATAGAGTCAACCGGCAGTGAGACCCGTGTCGGACTCTACTTTATACAGGTACTGCCCCAATAAGAAAGCGGTAGGTTTGTGAGCTTCGGATGGCTACATGAGATTGTGCGAAGATTCGCCTGTATTGCACAGTCCGAAGTGTTATATAGCATATACGCACAAAGAAGTTGATCTATATAGTTAGAGTACTTCCAAGATATATTTCTGAGACCTTCGCGGAACAACAAAAGTCTATCACGTACCGTACGCACGGGGTTTATGACACGAGACTTCTTGCTGGAGTCTCATGCCTGTTGTAGGTTCTGTTTGAAGTGGTGAAATGAAAGGTATCATCTCAGCGTGAAATTAGCTTAACCGACTACCGTAAGCAAGACCTCATTATAATCATTAAATGGATACCCTGTGCCTTTTACAGTACATGCTACAACCCTTCGATCTGGGTTAGTTAACTGGATAGTGGTAGTCTCCTGAGGCTATGCAATGGACTCTCGCGCTGTGGATTTAATCCGAAGCAATTTATGTTCGCTTTAATTCACTCCAATGGTATGGACTTCAGTTGGATGTATTTGGCCGTATAGAAATTGGCTCAACTTCGATTCTTAGATCTAAGGTCTAATAGTGGATTTGTTTTTTAAGACTAGAAAGGGAAATTGAGGGAAATGAAACCAACAAGAAGAAAAGAAGTGGCACCTTTCGTGGAGTTGGAATATACGAGATTGGACCTAGAAAGGGGCATTAATTATGTTGAAGTACTGCTTCACCTACGGGATTGGTAGATCCGTGGTTTTTGTTTTCATCAAATTAGATGTTTGTTGTAATGCCACAATCACTGAATATGCTCTTATGAAGGTTTGCATCGAAGAACCCCTCAAAATGAAGTATGAGAACCGCATTTTAGAATGAACTTAATCCTGCGGTGTTGCATACCGTGAACTTACATCTAACCTAACATGTAACTGCCTCTACGCGACAAGGGTTTACCAACAATGGCTTATGAGGATGGTTAGATTTTAATAATATCCCTAGATGTCAAGGGCGGGGGACATGAAAGACTTTCTATATATTATTTCAAGTGGGAAATCCTCGGACAATACGTCTCAATCGCCTCAATACGCCCTGTCTGCCTCTTCTTTATACGGCTGTCTTAGTGTAATATATGAAAATGGGGTGAATATGAATGAGTTGGAAGCTGAAGTATTGTACAGACTCAAAAAGGGTGCTACACTTGTATGGCTATATATACATTATATACAGGTCAAGGTCGGAAGCACATGTGACACTCTAGGCCTTACAACCTTCTGATACTCTATGGAATTCGTCTGATCCATAGATCAAGGAACCCAAACCGGATGACTGCAGGTTATAAGGAGTTCCACGATCAGTTCACCATTCCGTAGATTGCGGGCTCCGATATGTGCAAGACCTTACACAAAATATTCTGAAAACGTTTGTTTGTCTCTGCAGGCCTCTTACTGCAGGAAGTGAAGAACTAGTCTTTTATATCCGGATATACTTTCAATTAGCTCTGGTACACGAATGTACTCATCAGGTCCGTGTGCCACAAGGATCGAGCCCGGCCCATACAGCACTCTCTTGCCGCACATTTCGTCCTTGAGTCGAGGCACGTCGGTTCCAAATGCCACTGGGGCGGCATCGAAACCTTCAATTTCCCAATCCAAGAGAGCCTCTGGGTATTCAAACACAAATTTTAGCTCTACATCCGGATACCGGGATATTATTTCTGCGAGTTTTGTCTTGATGCCGGGTAGGTCGGAGACCATGCGGACTTCGCAGAGAGCCTTAGCTGACGGAGCTACGATGTTATGTTTCTCTCCGCCCTCGAGAGTCCCAATATTGAAAGTAGAAGGTCCCAGAAGGTCAGATTCAGGCCAGCTAGTTGCAGAAAGTTCGTTCAACACGGTTAGAAGCGTAGAAGTTGCACTTTTGCCGAGGTGAGGATACCCCGAGTGACTTCCGGGTTTCGTTAGTATGGTTATTCGATGGGTTGCCTTTCTGGAGATTGCACGTACCAGGCGATGCCGTGGGCGATGACTTCAAAGGCTACTTGTCCCTTATGGCCCTTCGCAAGCTTGCTCTCCGTCGGTTCGGCGAAGATTCCAGATTCCCAGGTTACGCCCATATCATTAGCGGCAACCATCCCATGCCCGCCGTTCTCCTCGCCGACTACGAATAGCAGTCCGATATCACCCTCTGCGCGGATCTTTCCTTCTTTCCTCAGCTCCTCCGCTGCCAGAATCTGAGCCGCCAGAGGGCCAAGGTCATCAGAAGATCCCCTTCCACGGATGATGTCACCGTCGACAGTTAACGGAATGTGCGGCGGCACTGTATCCATATGAGCCGTGAGAAGCACGCGTGTCTTGCGGGCTGAGCCGAGGTAGGCGTACACATTGTGACGAGTAGACCCTGGCGCGATAGGTATGCGCTCAACGGTGTACCCCAGGCTTTGGAGGTGTTGTTCCAAGAAGATACCGATACTTAGTTCCAGCTCGCTGGTGCTGACAATCGACATCAGCGATTTCAACAGGGCGACTACTGGGTGATCCATGACTGCGGAGGCCATATGTACTTAGAACTTCAGGAATACATGTGTATGAGTACGTGGATGCTATTCTCTCCCGCTCTTTCGCATATTATATACCGGGCAATGTTCGGTGTGTCGGGATGAGGGATTAGCGGATTAGCGGGGTTTGGGGGGTGTTGATCCACCTTTCTACCGGCCGGTGCGCAACATTTTGCTATTTGTTACGTGATCTTTAGCGGCGCTTGGAGCCGTGGGGAGCAATTAGCAGACGGCTTTTCGTCCGAATAGCAGCCGTTATACATCGGTATGTTAGCGTGACAATAGCGCATGGTCCGGCTCCCAAACAAGCTCAATGAGTTTGCCCGGTGGCCTGATGGCGAAGGCATCGCTTTCCGGTATGGGAATTGGCGGAGATTGCGGGTTCGAGTCCCGTCTGGGTAGTTGGAGACCTATCGAAAGACGTTATTTTTGTGGCTTCATTTTGGTGTTGCCAACGTCTCTCCATGAGTCGTCTCTGTTTGATGAGTTTGCTGTGGGAAGAGACGGTGGCTATATGGCCGCGACTACTAGGTTTATTACGCCATCCAATCCACATCAACGTCGCATCCAATTGGTACGGCTGACTCACGTATTCCTCCACTAATAACCGTAGAAAAGCACTATTCTGCTTAGACTACTTTGAACAATGAGTCCAGTTTGTGCGCTTTGATTCTAAACTCAGGGGCTAATGGGCGTGTTATATATTAACTTCGTCTTGTATTGACCTCTAGTCGGTCGACAAATCTACGTGTTTGGAGAGATAAGAAAGCAGGTAGTACGCGATCTATTCTTGTAGGGCGAGGAATACAGAGATACATCATAGCACATTATTTCAGGTAGTCTCCTAAGTCATTATTGTACTAATATTTGGCAGCTGGACCCATCGCCGTAGATCCATCGCTCGCTGCTCCGGCCCCGCATTCTATACGGGTTCACCACTAATATACTCGGAGTTGACAAGAAACTTGGGGCCAAGGATGGCTTCCAGTATAATTCTCCGGCGCTCTTCCTGATGCTAAGCCGAGTTAAAAATGTGCAGTGAGACACGGCTTAAACGTAGCAAAAATTAGACGAGTAGTAGTTGTTACGGACGATCTATATATACCGTTAATCCTTATTGCATTAACGGCGTCGTTTTTCCCGTCATAGTAGTCTTAACGTTTCGTTCGGAATATGTAACTGGAAGTTATTGGATCGGGACGGAGAACCCTGAGTCTTTATTACTCATCGGCAGTTGACATAGGGTTCAATAATGCATGATGCATGGCAAGCAGCAACGTGAGAGAACTGCTTAATTAAGACCTCCGTCACCTCCTTGAATGTCAAAAGTGGGCAAATGAGCCAAAGTGTAGGTTAAAGGAGAGGTGAAATATCAGCTCTTGTGGGCAAAAGGCTGGTGCGCATTGATTGCTCAACTGCTAGGTAATACAGCTACATCTACCACACCACACGCCAACATGGCCTAGTAATTACAATCTCAGGCTCTTGATCTTAGTATTTTCTCAGTCTATTTGGCCGAGAGGTGGTATACAATATTTTAAGAGCAACCTTGAAAAATGGAAATTCTCATCTAAATAGTTAAACTGTTATTATTGATCTCCGGCTAATTAAATAAACTCAGAACTCGAATATTAAGCACAAATACTTTTTTTTTGATAGTGTCTCCGCTTTTCTAGCCTTTGTCTTGACTTAAGAATAAGTATTAGAGGTCCGTATAGCTATAGTGACTCGAAGATTCTTTAATATTAAAGGTTTCAGTTCAATGTGTGATAAAACAGCCGTGATTAACAAAACAGAATCTTGTCAACCAAAATAAACCTGTCCGTGGCCCAGCCCTCCGCACAGAGAGAATATATACAATCAATGTTCCAAGGAAAAATGATATGTGCGATGCAGTATCCAGAAATACAATCCGATCAATATATATCTAGCATGAGGGCTATTGTGACTTAGCTCCACGGGTTCATAAAACCGAATACCCCTCTTTCCCTAGCCGCACCAGCCGCTATGTCTGATTGCACCCTACGCACCTCAGCCAGAAGGGCGTTTGGGACCTTGAACATAGAGATATCGAGCGGGTCTTTTCCTATCCTAAAGCAGTCTTTGCTGGGGCAGTTTTCGCTTCGGAGCTCCGGCGCCCGGCGAGCCCACGATGGCAACAGGCGCCTAATCACGTTCTCTAGGATATTGTTTACTACCTCGATTTCGGCCTCTCTCACTATATTACTCAAGATGGCCCGAATTTCCTCGTCCTCGTTAATATCTATGTCTTTAAACTCGAGAAGTCGAGTCTGTAAGCGCTGCAATGTAGAACAGCCCTGTCGCAGTGGCCTTTCAATCAGAATTTTCATGTCGGCGCGAAATCTATGGAATTCCTCGGCCCCGTGTCGCTTGATGAGTGCCCCTTGGTGAACATTAATCAGCCTTGTCAGCTCGCCGAATTGGCGCCACCCTGCGTTATAGAGATATCTTAGTCGACATCTGTAAGTTTTATGTTATAAAATTTGCTAGATCATATGAAATAAGGAGATCAAGGAATTAAACATAGAATATTTTTATACTCACCAGCCTGCCAATGTCTCAAGTTGATGTTGTACGCCACGTCCAAAGGTCGTTCAAGTAGGGAGGCGCCTCCGTACAGGGACTCGAAATCGCAATCTTGGAACTCCCATGCCGGAGCAGGTATTGGCTGTAATATTGTCTGGGAGTTAGAGACAGTGGCGGTGGCTTTTACATTTTCAACGGGAATTCTTTGGCGAACGTCATATTCCATTAACCGAATATTGAATATCGCCAGTGCAATTATCGCCACAAGATAAAGAATCATGTTCGTATCAAACAGCTTTTACTACTGTCACTTTATTGTTAAGTAGTTCTGCTCGTTCTCGAACTTGAATTGTGAGGATGAAGTTATTTTCATCCACAACAAAAGGCACTGTCTAATCTAGCAAGCCAGACCAATATGTTATCGACATTGAAAATAAGAATGGTTTCCCGTGGGTTCTAAATAAAGCCGGATTCGGATATCTGAAACCGGACGATGATTTTGTCCAGAATCGGGATTGTTCTATACAGTTGTCAGCCACCTCATTAGCCTCTCGTCGCAGACAAAGAAGGGGATGTGGCCTTAATAAAGATATCGGCCAGTTCATACCGGGCTATGGATGTCACAAATATTACCAAACCCGCAAAATTTAATTGAAAACTTGGAGACAGACTCCCACCCCTCCTGGATATCAATTCGGGGGATATTTAGTACCAGGGACTCTGTTAGTCTAATATCTAAGCGCAGAACGGGTGCCAGCTAGACAGACAGGAGGATTTGCTAAGATACGATCTAAGAGATGCATCCTTTAAGGGCAAGTTATTAAGCACTTGATCAATTTGCGAGGCTCTTAAAGCGATGACTCTTAACTTATACATTGGTGTCTTTACTACGGTCATTGTTGTTTTTTACTCTCCTAGAGTTCATCACGTATTGATACCCTGTCGTATTTTATGTGGAGGGACATTTTAGATAAACTTGTTACTGACTATACCGTTTCTGCAATTGAACTCAGGCAACCAGATGCCGAAGGGCATTATAAAAAGCTTCGTCATAGTACCGGTGCTAACTTACATCCTTTCTGGCTCCATAGTCCTCTGCTTTTTGGTGAAGTCTTCTAGCTGCACGGACACAATAAACCTTGAACACAGCTTGAGTACCAGGATTCTTTCGACGAGGCACATACACAAAGACTTCCGATCAAGTAACACCCCATTTATTTACTTAAGTGTCCGAGTCTAGCCTCGGGATGCGTAAGGGCCCACATGGCTCCCTAGCTAGGGTCTCCATAGGCCTGGGCATTGGTAATCCGGCATAAACTTGTTAGTTTTGGAATAATTTCAGAAAGAATCAAGTGAGTAGATGTGTTGTTAGCGATAAAGAATATAAAGACATTATTCAAATTGGACATGACTTCCCTTGTTTTCTCATGTTCATGTCGAAATCAAGGCGTGTGGTGGTCTGTATAGTCGGTATATAAAGGTGGACCCAAAGCCGGTCGGGGTCTGACGACTGCGGTCCTAAGTAGATACTTCCGGCACTGGCCGACGAGTTCCAAACTAAAGTAAGTGGTTCTTCGCTGCAAAGACCTCAAACTCACAAAGTGGCAAATTGCCAGGAAAAAAAGACCCCGGTTTACGCCGTGCTCCTGCATAGTAGCGAATACCTTCGGTACCCTTTTGAGGAGGATGTATGTATGTACAGTACTTAGGTAGCGTTCGCATTTGGTATACGCATATGCGTAAGAACATGTTCCTTGTAAAAACACTTTTGTTTACGGTGGGGTTGAATGAATGTCTGCTGCTGCACATGCAAGGGGGCTTACTTCGTACCGGCCTCAGCCACGTTACAAGCCCCGAGGTTCATTTCGAGCCACTCATATCTCTCAAAACAAGCTTGATTAAGTCAGCACGTGCACACGGATTGGTGCACTCCGATTTCAATATGACCTCGTCGTAGTAACACCGACAACAAAGTGCTTGGAAATATTCAAATAGGCACCAATAACCCGGACGGGCTTATCACTTATCGGACTACAACTGATACTCTGCTGTGAAGCAGACGAGAATTTCAAGCAAGGAGCCTCGGAAATATGAACATACATGGTAAACCATCAAAGGTGCTGATAGATAATACAGTAGCTGAAGGTCGCGTGCTCATCCCCATGTACTAATTACACTACATGCTTAGGTAGCGTAGAGATAACGGGTCCGGGTCCGGGTGGCAAGATATTGTCCGCGTAACTGCAGACAAGATAAACCGCAGACCAGCCGGAAGGAAGACGGCAACCCCATCTTTTTTACTTTCTGATCGAACACGAGGAACGGCATGCCGTACTACCTTTCACAAGTTGGAGTTCATGCTGACAGTTCGCCCCGAGCCCGTTATCAAGCAAAACATAGAAATAAAAAAATTCCGCATCACCCGGGTTGTGTGTGCTCCTCTCTCGCTTCCTCACTTGGCAACCAGTCTTGGCAACGGTCCGTACCGCTCACTCTCACCGGTGAGTTTGACAATTTTCAATAACACAATTATGAGGGAGGTTGGGCACGCACGCACCACCTAGCGAACCATCACCCCATCCCCATCCCCCATCCTAGTGTAGTGTAGAGTAGCTTCGCCCACCATCCCATCCACACTAAGGTAACTAACCCGCATCGCGCAGTCAGTTCAACGAACTGCTCCTACTGTACGGAGTACGCAGCATACTTATGCGTAACGACCGAACCCCCTCCTCCTCCTCCTCTTCCTCCCCCTAGTCTCTAGTCGCGCGGGTCTTCCCTTGCGTCCAACGGTGAGTGAGGGTGAGACGACGGCTGGCGCGACAGGCCAAAAAAAAACATCCTAGGGTGGGCCG